AGAGAGAGAGAGAGAGAGAGAGAGAGAGAGAGAGAGAGAGAGAGAGCAGATATGTAGCTGGCATAGGTATCTAGACATAGGTTTATCTAGGTCCATCATTAGCACAAGCTTTATATGATCATAAAGTCATCTCCAATTTAATTAAGCATTTAAAGTACTCTGATTTAAGTTAGGTACACGCGTTATTTTAATCCTTAGGGCAGCCTTCTAACAAGAACATCATTATTTCACTTTGCAGATGAGCAACTAAATCCTAGTTGAGTTAGGTCCTATAACGCCAATGAGTGAGGGACCTGAGATTCGAACCCAGCTCTGTTCGACTCCCGAGACTGCCGAAACCCTCTTACCAGTGCTCGAGAGAGGGCTCTGTTACCAGAGCCACTGACTTACCTCCTTTCTGGAAACTAACAGAAATTTTGGTAGCTTTTAGGGTCTTTAGCTAACTGTAAGATTTGGGTCTGTCTTTGCTGTCATTGCTTCTGGCTTTGCTCGGGGTCAACCAAGGATTCCTTTATGGTCAAAGTTAGAGCATTGCCTGACCTTTAGTCTTACAAGCATGGATTTTAATGTAAGTGAAAGCTGGGGACACCCAGAAAATCACATTTGGTTCCCAAATTGTCCCCTGCATGGATGAAGGTGTCTTGTTTTATCAAACTCAGGTCTGAGACCTTTCTCTGACATCCTAGTTTTATGACCTGTCCCTAGGAGACTTAGTTGGATTTCCTCAGCAAAGTAGAGGTAAGCTGAACTTTGAGGGGAGACATCAAGGTACCTGAAAGTGCCCACCCTCAAACACAATGCTCGAAAATGTCTTTTCATACCTAACAGGATAGAAGGCTTAAGACAAATGTCTCCTTCAAGTTGGTCCGATCCCACAGGCAGTTGAATCAAGGCAAAACTATTCCAGTATACTTGACTCCTTTAGAAGGAAACTTTGAAGAAACGCCTGGCTGTATACAGTGAGTTGTAAAGGCGCACAGTCCCCTGGGAGAGAGGCTCATTTGAGCTCATCTTTGGAAGCAGCTCAGAGTCCACAGTTTACCCAGTAATGAATTACAGGAACATGAAACACAGGAAGCCCTTCTCATTTGAACTGGGGTGGTCCCCCAAGTATAGGGGAGGCTGCTATTAACCTTGAAGGTAACAGGGCTTTATCAGGTATTTCTTGTTTAATTCTTACATCCTAGGGGCTATGATATGACCTGGCCGTATCTGAAATCTACCGAAGAGAAGGATTTTTTCTTTTTTTAAAGGATCTCCTTTTTAAAGACCTACATTTTACGGTCTGAGAAAACAGATCTCTCAAAGAAAGAGAGGGGAGAGAAAGCCTGGCAAATAAGATAAGTTTTAAACCACTATCTCATTTACAAAAAGCCCATTGAGAAATAAAATTCATACCGTTAATGAAAGGGTGTAAGATCACGATTATCACTTTGACTTGTTAAAAGTAAACTTGCTCCCCTGGCCTTAGAGTCTGGTGTCCCGTGTAAACTGAAACCCTCTTCTGAGATGACATCTAGCAGGAACACGCTGACTGCTCCCGTGTGGCCCCGATCTGGGAGGTTTGCTTGGTTCTTTAAAACCCACGTTACGGAAACATTCAGATCCAACTCCACAAAGGCTGCAGAACAAGCTGGGGTTTTAGTTTATAAACCTGATTAGCTCCAGGATTTTTCAGATACTGGGAAACTGTGCCTTTGACGGGCTTGTGTATGTGTCTTTAATGCTCACTGGGCCCTCTCTGAAAGAAGGCAAACAAAACTCTGAGGGTACTTGTTTTAAAGCCTCAGCGTATATGACGCTATAAAGGTGAATATTTACCTTGCTTTCTCTGGGATAGATTTTGGCTCTGTACTCCATACACGTGTATAATTGAGACAAAACTAGTTTTAAGTGTTTTCTGCTGTTATAGAGGGAAAGAGAACCAGTAGGCTTTCTGCCTTTGAGAAAACTTAAAATTTCAGGTTTACCAGCACCATTACACTAGTATTCACACCCCTCATACCTCAAGGGGCTTTCTCCTTGGCTGCCTTCATTATATTCTTTATGCCTTGGTAAAGCGCATAATTCAGAATCATATCCTAAATTTTAAATGATTAGAGGCAAATCCTGGAAAGTGTGGGATGGCATTAAATGGAAGGTGTATCTCTGTCTTTAAAAGGTGCTGGGTTCTCCAAGCCTGTGGTTATTTCCATATTTTAAAAAATTAAAACAGAAGATTCATCTCGTGAACATCTCCCCTGATTTTGCAAATGGTGATGAAAGTTGGTGCCGATATATTAGAGGCAGTATTCACTGCCTGTTAGTGAAAGGAAGAAAAAGAGAGGGCTGAAGGGAAGGAGGAGGTCGGGGAGATGACGAAGAGAGACAGGTGGGGAGGCAAGAAGTATGTGTGTGTGGGAGGTGTGTGTGCGCGCACTCGTTTGTGTGCATGTGTGTGCACGCACTTGCACACTCATGCATGTGTGTGTGTGTGTGTGTGCATGTATGTATGTGTGTTCTTTCCCTATTCCCATCAAACCTCAGGAGCTTGGTAAAACTTTAAAACCATCTCTTGTAGCCTTTTCATTTGACCAACTATGAAACATTTGGATTATAGCAGTCTGCAAACCTTATGGATTATTTTGGATTGTCACGAGCATTGGTGGCGAAAGACACACATATCCCTCCGCCTTCATGTCTTTGAAGCTTCTCACATGTTTACTTCAGACCGTACAGAAATTAAGGAAGACGAAAGACATCAACCTTGCGGTCGATACTATATAAACACCCCGGGCAATCCCCAGAAACCTAAGGACGAACTTCAGAGGGGTTTGAACACTGGAAATGTGGCAGTTTACAATGATTCAGGTTGATCATTTGTGAAGGCCACAGTGATCTTCACACTTTAATTGATCGATAATCTATTTGTGATGGGCCCAGCAAGACTGTAGTATTGACCGGGACCTCAGATGTAATGCAACACTACTACTTTGAAGTGTTGCCCTTACAAAGTGTCCCTACTGAGCCTTTAGGCCCCCAGAACACTTCTATTTAAGCAGGGAAGTCATTCCCTCTCCAGGGTCCCACTTCATGGGAGATTCAGTGACGTGGAATCACGTACGTGAGTTTACTTGCTATTATTTTGCTTATCTGCTTCCACATACACACACGGTAAGTTAAAACCAAAGCTGAAATCGTAGGAAGAGCTCTTGCCTTAAAAGCTGGAGACTTCCCCACTCTAAACTGACTCCCTACCTCTTTCACCATCAGATAAAATAGCAATGACATAAAGGTTCACAGGAAAGCTGGGGGGGGGGAGGGTGTAGTCCAGTGGTCAAGCGCTCTTCTAGCCTGTGCAACGTCTCAGATTTCACTTCCAGCGCTTAAAGATAAACAAACAAATAAATGGCATCATATGCCATTCAAAATCGCTCAGTGCGTGAAGCTATATAAGTAAATATAAACTAGTTTAAAAATATTGCTGGTTCTCTATTCACCATTTTCTCCGGGTTAACTGAGCACAGGTGCTTAGCTAAGAGCTTTAGCATCCAGGGTTCCAAATTTAGTTCCCACCCTTGTGTAGGCTGCATGGTTGGTTCCGAGGTGAACTCTGGAAACGGCAAAAAGCTCACAAGACAAGGCAGGTTTGAATGACTTAACTGGCATAAAATGCTGTCCATCACCGCGTCTTTTCTCAACAGAGAGCTGAAATACAATCGAATCCCAATATGGAGTATTCGGTCTCCTTCACAGAGTGATCTGCTCAGACCCTGAGATAGAGGTGGGCCAAAGATATAGGTCAGCTGAAGTAATTGGGGGGCTCTGGAGCAGAGAGGTAAGAAGACTGGTAGTTTCCAGAGAAACAGGAGTGTGGGTCTCCCCGGCGTAAAGTAACTGGATAAAATAGCCCTGATGCACCTGGATCTCCCCGATTTGTGTCATGATCTGGGACAGCGTGATGGCGGTGTCATGTGAAGTTCACAGCTGCATCAAGGCTTCCTCTTCCCTGGCCAAGTGAAACTTTTAAAAACTGAGTTTACTGTTGAAGTAAGTCAATTCCAAGTATTAAGAGGGCAGAGATAATAGCTATGCGCTCTTTTGTTATACCTGCCTTACATGGGCTTTGCTGGGGCCCTGAGCCTCACACAAGAACTTACCTGCTCATTAAAGCACAGAGGGATGACATTAAGTCACACTTGTGCTGTAGAAGCTACAGGGTAGAGCTTTATGGTCATCCCCAGGGTCATCTTTGACAGAATCAGCAGAGGCTGCCTTCAGTCCCTCTCTTCCATGGACTCCAATGCTCTAAAGACAAACCTGTCCTCACCCAGCAGCTAGCCTCTGCAGTAGAAATGAAATGGTAAGTCCCACCTTCCTTCCTTCTCTATTCCTAAACTGTCTGTCATTGATATTAGTAATAATTTATGGGAAAAAATTAAACCAATCACTTATTAGGAAAACAAATGATGTAGACTCAGTCTATAGAGTACCCAGTTAGCCGCAGGGCTTGTTTCCCTTATGTCTGGAGATGGAATTAAATGTGTGTTCCGAATGTGTTATTCAGAGTGTACAGATTTTGCCCAGATGCAACTTGCATTCAGTACACTGTTCCCTAATCTGGCCATTGCACCTCAACTGACAGGGGCGGCCAAGCAAGCCTCTGAGATTATGAACTAGGGTTTCCACGTGCCTGAAATCTTTCTGTTGAGACTTCATTCAACACCCTCAGAAGGGCCCGAACGAGACCAGCTTTGAAGCTTGAAGCTGAGTTTGACCTATGGCCTAAAGTAGAGATTTGAGTGTCAACCTTCCAGCATTCTCTCCTGATAAAAAGTAACGACAAAATTCTCAACACACGAAGGAGGTGAAAATATGCAGCATCTCCAGTGAAGTGCAAGCACAAGAGTGAGGAACCAGAACACAAAAGGTTAGGAGGTAACTGGTCACGTGTATCCCTGGACCTAAAAACAAAAGAACATGGAGGTAAAGACACACACTCACACACTCAAACAAACTGTTTAGTCTAGAAGACATCGAATTCTAATTTCTTTTTATGAAGGTTACATCCAGAGCGGAAGAGTTTCTAGGAGTGACTATTATGGCCACACAAGGGTTAGCCACAGAATTAATTTTGATGGAAGAATAATTATCATCTCCCCCATATGTTCTAAACACAACAAATTGCCTTTTCACAAATGTCTTTCTTGTGCATGGCACACAAAGACGGACTCTATTGAAATTTTAAGAACAGCTAATTTAGTAACTGTTCATCCACCTGGCCTTGCAGCATTCTGCATGTACTGTCAAGTTTCTCGCTGTCAATTTTCTAATGAGCAATTTTGTTTTCAAATGCCCAAAGCCAGTGGCTCAGTCCAAGCATAAACTTAGTTAAAAAAAAAAAAAAAAGTTCCAAACCAGCAAGAAAATTTAAACAGGACTCCAGTGTACACTACATCTCCCCTTATTTGAAGGTTTGTTTCTCTCAAGTATTTACTAGCACTGTGTGTGTGTGTGTGTGTGTGTGTGTGTGTGTGAGAGAGAGAGAGAGAGAGAGAGAGAGAGAGAGAACTCTCAGAGTGCAGAAAAATACTTCATTAATCATACAGAAGGCTTTCTCCTGTGTATTCAGCTTAGTCTGGTAAGGAATTTTCATCTTGCATGTTTTGAACTGCATAACTCTTTCTTAAAAGGTTTTCAGTTCAAAAGCATCATAATGAAACATGCCTTGTTAGAATACAATACCCAGTTGGTAGTCCTGTGTATAAAGGCATAGGAGCAGCCCCAATAAAAATATTTGGAAGGGAAACACATCCATTTTATCCATCCCAGAAGTGACTCATCAAAGTCCTCAGTGTCATCTTCTCCAAATGAAGTGCCATTTATAGAGCTAAAGAAAAATAAGTCACTTTCTAGGCTAATGGAGGTAGTCACATTTGTAACATTTATTCTACATCTGTAAAGTGTTATATTTGTAAAATGTTACAGTCTTACGTTTTAACATTGTTAACCTTTTGTAACAGAAGTATATGGGATGAAGATGCCTGGAAGAGTGAAGGATTTCAGAGAAAGGTCTTCTATGAGGGGAGGGGTGTTTGTGGTCTAGCAAGGACACAACTATGTGAATGGACCAGAGGCACTACAGGAAGTAGGCAGCCTAGTGGGACCAGCTGTAGATACTTCTGGCTAAAGTCACTGAAAAACAAACACGCTTGGAAACGAACACACTTTTTCTGCTTTGTTTTGTTTCTTTATATTTTAAATCAGGAACAAGTCTTACCATTCCTTTTGTCCACAATAAGCCTTTTAAGATGAAGAGCCCATGATGGGACCATTCCTACCTATTCATTCAAGTGGAAGCATTACACAGGAACATCGAGAAGATAATCCACCTGCCTTCTTAGATTAACTGTCAGATCATGGATTTATGGTAAGTTTTCAGGATGCCTTAACTTATATTGTGATGAGGCATTTTCTGAGTGAGCGCATCATATTTTAAATATCTGCTGATATCTACTAAGACCCTCCTGGGCTGCCCCTGAGAGCACAGGTAAATAACTGTCACAGAAACATAACACAGAATCCTTTGGGTTTAAAAAAGAAAGTCCTATTTTAGTTCATTTATATAAATAGAAGAAAGAGAAAGCATTCAGATTAGGAATACCAGATTATATTATTACCTAAATAACAAGTTTATTTAGAGACAACTGAGAGATAAGTGGTTAAATATTCACTACAGATATTAACTTTAAAAGGCAGTTAATTCAATTGTTAGAGAAATCTGCTCTTTCAACTTTGTCCAACCCTGTTAAAATAAAACAGCCAAAAGTTATAATTACATCCTAAGTGGCCTTTCTACATTATTAGTGTCTATGACAGGAATGGACCACTGAGAAGCATCCCATAAAATGTGGTTAGTGCTACCCCCTCCACACAGGAAAGTACACATGGGAGATTAATTTTCCTGAAGATGAGTACAGAGTCTTTTTACACAAATGCTGTATATTTCAACCTATTGAGAAGGTATTGTGGGGATTTATTCTAATTTCAAACCATTACTTTCTATTACAATGCATACTTACAAATAAGATGCAAATTATTCCCAATTTTTTATAAGGCCAAAAATGACATGTAGTCTTCATCTTTTCTTTCTATAGACATTTACTGTAAGATAATTTCTCTTTGCTACCACACATGACCAAGATGAAATGGTTTTAAAGGTGCAATTTAAAACCTGTTTTTTAAAAAAATAGACTGTCATGCTTGATTGGATTCTATCACATCCCCCCACCACCAAAAAAAAAAAAATTAAATAAAGAAAATATTTTGTTTTTAAAGCTTAAAATTGTCTGAGAGCACAACAGTTTGGGGGAAAGTTTCTTCTAATTATGACATAATATCTTTCAGATCTGACCCAAATAGAGTACTTTATCACCACATTTAAAGCTGTAGATTTCATGAAACTCTTTTCAGTAACCCATAATTGGATTTCTTTTTAATTAGCATCTATTTGGCAAGTACTTAACAATAATAGGGGCACTTGGCTTCTAGTCATCATGTAAATAAGCACTGAATAAATTAATCTCAATTACTTATTTCCCCCCAGAGGAAACTGCAGGAATATCACCACCTGTCAAAATCTCTAGCTTTGATTTATTCTCAACTGGTTCACCATGGGTGTAAATATTAATGATATCATTTCTATCCCACGTCCCACTCAGCCCTTTCCCCACTCTCCCCCACCCCTTAAGGTTTATACTATTTGATGGCTTTTTGTTTGCCTAAAATCACTGTATCTTCAGGAAGCTCTTAAGCTAAGCCTCAACATGGGAGGGAGGAAAAAATTGTTAAGACTCATCTAACGATTACAGGGTTATCCAGCTGAGACCAACTCCTCAGGTTGTAGGTTTAGAATGGAAATTTTTACATGGAAGTCATTGATAACATTGGAAGAGCTTGACTTGAAAATTCTCACCTTCTGAGCTGCTTTCGAGGGGCTCTTGTTTTTGCTGCCCTTGGGTCTTCCTCTGGGTCTCTTAGGAGAGGGCTCACAGGTTGGCTCCTGATTGTAAAGAAGGAAGAAAAGCTGTTGTGGCTAGGCCGGCTGAAAGAAATTGCCCCCGACTCTGGCTGTGCTTTCTGCATATGCTGCTCCACCAACCTGCTGGAAGTCATTCTGCTCTGGAATAGTTGGATGCTGGCGGGACAGCCTTGACAAAAGGGAATAGTTTGAATCCCAGGGTTCAAGGAAGCTTTTTACATGTGGAAACTGGATTATATTTCAAAATCGAAATGATGGCAAACCCTGGGGAAAGCTGCACGTTCTAGAAAAGCATCCAAAGGTACAAAGTGGAGAGTGCATGGCTATGCCCTTGGCAACTCACAGAAATGACAAACATTTTCTTTCTATAACTACCACTACCTATTTCAAACAACAAAAACAGTCGTAGATAGATGGAAAGATAGGAGAAAAAAAAAAAGGCATGGCTGCAGTCACCTCTATGTGCCTGTGTTCCAGGTGGTTTAGGATTCAACCCACACATTCTGAGTGAAATATTGGAGCGATTATCCAAACTCTTCAGCTCAGAATAATTCCACACCCCCCTAAATTTTCCAAATAATTATGGTAAATCTGAGGTGGGAGGTTTTGCTTGAATTATCTAGATAATTGCTTCAATTCCCCACTTCCTTTTGGAGAGACAGGCAGGGTCTCCAGTCGAAATTTAAATATCTTTTTACAAAAATAAACATGTTGTCTTCAAAACTTTTTTTTTTAAGACACTCTTGGGCGGAGGTGGGGGGTGGACTGGAAAGAAAAACGAGGTAGTGGGGAAAAAAAAAATCTAAGTATCTGGGAAAGAGAAATTGAAACAGCCACGAGGTCACCAGGTATATTAACGTTTTACTTTATTGGGTGCTAGGATAAGTAGCCAATACTCAAAGCAGTTAAGAAAATGCTAAGATAGACTCGCAGAGGACGCTGAACGTCTCTCCGGTGAATCATCTACTCGTTTCCTTCAGATTGGGTGCTTAAATGAGACTAATTACAACTCATGAGCGTTCTCAATGGAAGTCCGCATTCTAGAGAGCGGGGGAGGGGGATAGCGGAGGGGGGGGTGCTTAGAAACTTCCATTGGATAACTAGCGCCAGTGGGCACTTAGAGCAAACACATCGGAAACACATTTTTCTTTGTGAACTCGGCCTTAACTCAAAGGTAAAAACTCCTGGCCACCTCCGGACCCCATTACGTTTTCCTTTAGACTTTGGGGGAGGGGTGCGATTAGTAGAATTCAGAAACCCTGGGTGGCTGGTAGGAGGCAAGGGGGTAGAGCGGAGACTTCCTGGGAGGTGTAAAACAGGATCCAAATGCACTGTAAAGTGTCGCCAAGGGCAGAGCGGGAAAACTCGGAGGCCTCTAGATTAGTTTATTTCCTTTGATGACTTCCAAAAGGTACACTCCTCGTTTCTCCAAAACACACAGCAAACATTCTTCGATTTCCCACCTCGCGCTTTTCGGGGGCAATTTAGGACTTTAGGATTATTTTCTAATCCGCCTATTGGCCCGAGGGAAGCGATTTAAAGCAAAAGAAGAAATGAAAAGTTGTTGCTTTTTTTTTTTTAAAGGCCGGGAAAGGACTTTAACTGTTCTCAATAGACGCGTCCCTAGGCTTGGAAATTGCTGCGGATGCCCCAACCCCCGCCCGCCCGCCCGCCCGCCCGCTCGCCCCCGGCCCTGGGCGCTGCGAACAACTCTGCAATAGTCGGCTGCACGCTTAATTGGTTGCATCCGCAGACAAAACCCTCCATTCCGCGGGGTCCTGGGTGCCCCTCAGCCGTCCCTTCCCAGCCCCCAGCCACTCGCCTAGGAGGACGCTAAAAATTGGGCTGCTCAGAGGCCCGAGGATCAAGGAGCCAAAGGGGAACCCGGCTCCTGGCGGGCATGCGACCCTGGCTACCGTGCACTTTCCTTCCAAAGCTCCCTGGGCGAAGTGCGTTTCCCGGGCCCGTGGGGGCCTGGGATGCCGCGGGCTCCCTTCCCCGCCAGCCCCGGTGGCTGCAGCAGCTCGGCGGGCATTTAAAGTTCCCGAGGAGCCCCCGGCGGGCAGTCGGCTCCGCACGCGTTCTTTGTCGGGAGGGCGCGAGCCTTGGGCCATGGAGTGTAGCGAGGGCACCGAGGGGGCGGCCGCGGTGCACCAGCCTCCTGCGGGAAGGCAGCCCGGAGAAACCGCGGGTCCCAGAGCCTCCGACTCCCCCAGTCCCCCAGTCGCAAAAGCGGCTGACAAAGCGACGCTTTTAATCTGTGGGACCCCAGAGGCTCGCTGTCCCCCCCACCCCGCCCCCAGCCACGCCGCGCCGCTCCGGGGCTACGCACAATAGCGAAAGTCCCGGTCCACGCCTCGCGCGACCCCACCGCCCGCCGGGTGGCTGCGGAGAGCCGCCGGACCCCCAGCTCCCGGAGCCGTGGGACGCGGGGACGCGGGGACCCGGGGAGACTGCGCCGCGCATTCGCCAGAAGGACTCGGTCTCCCGCCCACCTACACCCGGGTGGCCGGCGGGCTAGCTTGCGCCGCCGTGGCCGCTTGCGCTCCCGCGCTCCGGTCGCCCGGCGTGTCGCGGGGCCCCGGGGCTGAGGCGTCGCGGGTGGGCTGAGTGGTCCCTCCGCGCCGGCGTACTGACTTGCTGCTGCTTCCTGGGTCGGCCGCGTCCTCGCTTCGGTGGCGCCGGGGTGGCAGGTTGTCCCTGGGCTGATGTAGACGGCTGCCCGGCGCCCTCACCGCGTGCGCTCATCCTGTCCCCCGCCGCCGCTACCGCTGCCTCCGCCGGTACCGCCGCTGCAGCCGCTCGGCCTCCGCCGCCCGGGATCCGCCCAGCACCTTTCGGGAGACGCGATGGAGAGAGCCGGAGAGGGCAGGAGCCGCGAGAGCGGGCGGGCGAGCTGGCGTGCGCCGGGGGCTGCTGCTGCTTAGGCTGCCGCTGCTGCCACCATCAACACCGGACGTCCAGCGGCTGCCAAAAAGAGAGAGGGGAGGAGGAAGAGAGGAGAGAGAAGAGAGGAGAGAGGAGAGAGGAGAGAGGAGAGAGGAGGAGGCGGAGGAGGAGGCGGAGGAGGAGGAGGAGGAGGAGGAGGAGGAGAGCAGGAGGCGCTGCGGGCGGTGGGTGGCGGAGGTGGAGGTGGAGGTAGCGAGAGGAGGCGGGAAGCAAAGGAGAGCTGGAGGCGGAGAGGGTGCCTCTCTCCGCTTGGGCTAGGGAGTTGAGGGTACTGGGACGCTCCGCAGCGGCTTGGAAAGGGAAGAGACTTGGAGTGAATTGTGTCCCTTGAAATGTTAGGCGGGGAAAGAATTCCTCCTCCTCTCCCCCACCCCAGAGGGAGAATGAGAGGGAGGGAGGGAGGGAGAGAGAGAGAGAGAGAGAGAGAGAGAGAGAGAGAGAACAGAGAGGGAGAGGGACAGAGACAGAAACACACACAGAGAGAAGACAGACAGAGACAAAGATAGACAGAACGAGACAGAGACTGGCTTGTGCCGTCAGAGAGCAAAGAGAGGGTGGGAAGGTTCTGCCAGGATCCGGTAGGGCACTCAGCACAGCTCTAGCAAGGAACAGAGCTGTGGGTGGCACCGCGCCTCCTCGGGTGGCGGGGTCAGGAGGCGGCGGCACTGCAGAGACGCAGAGGGACAAGCTGCTGGCCTCTGCGTTCTGCACCGGGAGCGCACGGCCCGGGCTGCAAGTTTTCAGAGTTCCTGCCCAGGATTCAAGAGGGATGCACGTGTGCGTGCGTGCGTGCGTATGTTTGTGTGTGTGTGTGTGTGTGTGTGTGTGTGTGCTTGTGTGTGTGCTTGTGTGTGTACGCGCGCTCGCACTTGCGGAGGGGTGGTGGGAGGGAGGAGTGGGGAGTGCCCACCTCTGATCCTGGGCGGATCAAGGGGAGGGGGCTGCAGGAGAAGCAAGAGGAGGGGGCAGGCCAGGCGGACCGCCGAGCCCAGGCGCCTGGCCGCCGGCCAGAGGCAGCGTTCGGAAACACAACTGCCTCGAAGGCGGTGGCGCCCGGGTGCCACCCGGAGCCCCGGCTCACGTGCTCCCGCCAACAGTGAGGTTAAAGAGACAGGGCCTAGGCTCTCCAGCCGGCTCGCTGCCGGAGGCCACCCCTGGGCGGTTGTCCTAGAAAAGCCAGAGAAAATTACAGTCTCAGAGTCACCCTGGGGAGCTTGGCCTCTACCTGCGCTTCCACCGAGCCATGCCCAAAGTTTCCGGAAGCATTCCGGGTCAGCCGCCTCTGTCTACTATTTCAGTCCCGGGGAAAGGGCGGCCAAAGAGTCGGAGAGCGCGCCCCCTCCCCGACTCTGCTCCACTGAGAAATGCCCTCACCCCAGAGCGCACAGGCGGGCGCACAAACACAGCGTGCACAAAGATACACGCGCCCACGCGTGTGATCGTAGACACGCTCGCACGCAGATGCACGTGCGCGCGCACACACACATGCACAAACACACACACACATACACACACTTTACTGGTAAACACGGACGCACACTTCCAGGCACACGATGGTGCCAGCAAGCACATTCACAACAAATGCACACACTTGCACACTGTACGCAGGAACACCGAGCGTGCCAGCTTCTTCGTCGAGTTTTTCCCCCCTCCCGGACTGACTACCAGAGGGAGCAGGCACTGCACACCCGTCTTCGGACGCCCATAGAGTATAAGGGATATTACAGATTCCTTACCCCTCCACCGCATTGTCTACCTCTTCCTGAAGTTTACCTTCATTTTAACCTTCTCCCTCAGAATTCCTTTCTCCCAAGTCTTAATTTTATAAGCCTGGGCTGTTTCTAAGTAATGTGAACACTATCGTGGCCACAGTCGGTTTTTTGAAAGGCGTAGAACGTTCTAAAATGTGCCTCTTTTTCATCTTTGAATAACACAAAACTGAAATGGAGGGAAGAAAAAGAAAATCTTAAGGGTCAGATTTTCACACCTCTCATCCAAAATTGTGTTGGGCTGATACCAGAGTAGAAACGTTCACCCAGTGAAGAGTTTTCTTTCTTACAAAGATACAGACCACCGTGGAATAAAAATGTTTTCTTTTACAGCCCTAAAGCCGGGATCTAGGCTCTGCCAGGTTCCGCTGGACTTGAGGCACGCGTGTAAATGTCTGCTTGGGTGCAACAGTGCTGATTGGTCAGCGTTGCCGTTTTAAATCCATTTCCAGCCGCCCTTTGCAGAATTGGGGCACCTCTCTGTACGTTGAGTGCTCTGCAGGAACCCAGGGCTGGTGTTGAGTCTGGGAACGCTTAGCTCTGATGGAGAGGAAGAGCCCCCCATACCTCCAGATGGAGCCCAGCAACTGAATGCAAAGGGAGGGGGTCCAACTGGAACCAAAGGTTTTGTCAGGGCTTAGCTGAAAGATGGTATCTTCATCAAAGGGACTGAAATTTCACCTTCTCACGAGTGCACTGACATTTCCTAGCTGAGGAGTTTGCACGTTTCCTGTGTGTGTGTCAGTGTGCGTGTGAGTGTGCATGTGTGTGTGATTGTACACTTACTCTTTGATGTGTACATTTTACATACTTGGAGAATACCGGTTTCTGTTTTGATTCTTGTTTGGTTACTATTTGCCAGAAGGACAGGCAAAGTTCTAGGGGGTGGATTTAGGCAAAAGTCACCCAGGATTTCAGTCAGCTAATTCTATACTGAGAATCACATTATCTCCCTGGATTCTTGCTTGTTTAAGGCACAAATGCTAGCAAGCAGGAGATTCCAACCTGGGGTGGTGTGGGGCGGATGACCTTGGAGAGCATTGAACTGTTTGTTGTTATTGTTGTGTGTGTATGTCTGTGCGTTGGTTTGGGGTTTTGCTTGTTTTTGTTTTGTTTTTTGTTTTTGTTTTTTTTTTTTACATTAATTTAGAATCTAAGAGAAGCATATAAAAATTGGGACATCCAGCCAATTGTTTTCATTCCATTTTGTTCTCGGATTTGAGCCCTTTTGAGTTTATAGAGACCAAGATATAAACAAGTCTTCCTTTGATTTTGTCTAATTGGCCTTATACACTGTTATTCTTTGATGCCTGTAATCCTTTCAAGTTACAGTATACTTCTTTTTTTTTTTTTTGCAGGTAAAGCCTAAAACTTTGTTTTCATTTTTTTAAATTATCAAGATTTTTATTACTGAAGTGCTATTTTTATCTGCCAGTCTTTTCATTGAGCTCGATGGCTATATTTTTGTCTTCAGGAGATGTTTTTCTCGTTCACATTTGAGGAGTTTGATCCTCAACTGTAGGTTTCTTGACCATTCATGTCTGTCTAGCTTCCTCTGTAGTAATCATCCATTCCAGGTTGGGCTTTTCTCCATTAAATCGTTCCTTTTCTCCTTCACCTGCTATCAAATTGAGTGCACACTGGGTGTATATCAACAAGCTTTCTACTGACCTATGATACAAGATTTAGGCTGATGTTTTAGCTCAGGTAAGTGCATTAGTGTCTGGTGAAATCCAATGAGAGGACTCAGAACACAGTTTAAAAAAAAATAAATAAGATAATATAGAAAATTTGGGGCCAAGTGCTTCTCATTGAATTCTCTCCACAAACGTAAATTGCTCTAAGATCTCCTGCCCCATGCTTTACAATTAGGGTGCACCTGGGCAGTAGTGGCACATGCCTTTCATTCCCAATACTCAGGAGGCAGGCACAGGGAGATCTTTGAGTTCAAGGCCAGCCTGGTCTACAGAGCAAGATCTAGGACAGCCAAGTCTACAGAGAAGCCCTCTCTTGAGGGGAGGTGGGGAGAAAGGAAAAAAAAAAAAAACAGAAAGAAATTTGGGTGCTCAGAATCTACAATGTCTGCTATGGTCTAACAGGCAGAAATGTTCTTATTTTAATGACACACTTGATACTACAAGGTATATCCTAAGTTTACAGACAGTACTTGTTGATAGTGGGTCACAATGAGACACTTTTAAACTCAACTGATCCGGGATGTTTTTTAGCCCTATCTTGACAACCTGTGTGACATTTAGTCCCCTCTCTCAGGATTATATGGAAATTGCATCTAAAGTCCCTAAAGACAGATAGCGTGTCCATCACCTAATCTCTATTTCTGTCTTGCTCATGTTGTCTACATGTTATATGTTTCATAGCAAACTTTTGGTAATCATTATTAATTCATTACTAATACAAAGGTCATCTTAATAAAGATACAATGTTATAAAATATACCACACAGGGTAAGAGAAGTACCCTGCAATAAGGTATCTTCAGTCTTCTTAAAAGAAGATTCAGCTGTGATGAGGATATCAGGATTCTCAAGATTTACCTAACATTATGTTGACATTTTAATATATTCCCATGTCAAAAAAAATAGCTTGTGGGTTTCCTCTCAGAACTTACTGAATTCAGTATGGACACATCTTCATATATGAGATTATCATAGCCAAGTATTTTGAAAGTGACTTTGTATGGGGTGGCAAAAATGTAGCTGGTACTTACTAAATATCATACATATATAACTTACGAAATAATTTCAAACATCTATAGCTTTACTTAGAAACAGTACAGTGTCTCTGTCTTTAGGGGCTTGCATTATAATTTTGCTGAAAAGCATTTCTAATGTTAAAAATAAGTGTATTTGCATGGCTCAAACCCAGTTGTGTTTCTAGGTGCTTAGTGTTCAGTCAACTGTAAGAAAGCTTACCTCTCTGCTGGTTTCCCTGTAGTGTCACAATAAAAGACTAGTTGCTACCGAGGTAGGCTTGCGGTAGTGGTGACGAGGTACAACATTGGCGAATGACCA